TTAAAGTTCCATGAGCACTTCTGCTTTTAATCTATTCTTTTCAAAGTATTAACATAGAAAATGTAAGTGGTGGTGGCTTGGTGGTTAAGGAAGTGGACTTGGGTCTGGAAAGTTTCATGTTGGAGTCCACAAGCTGACAAAGTAACCACTGAGGTCTGCATTGCACCATCCCCACACACTGCTCCCTGGGGGTTTCAGCTGCCCCCTGCTGCTTACAGTAGTTACCACAGGTAGGGCATCAGGCAGTGTATATATATATATATATACAACTGTTGTAATGTCAGGTATTTTGACTTAACATTTATCACATTTTTCTTTCTTTCTTTAAATATTGAAACTGATATATATATTCTGTGCAAACATCAGTTTTCAGGCCATTACCGTGTGAATATGTGCAGGGTTTGACAACATCTAGCGTGTTTTATGATTTAGATGTGTACAATTTTAACTTTACAGTTATGTCCAGTATCTGCTTGTCGAAATCAAACAGGCGATTTCACATTAGATTGTACTCTACGTGTATGCGACGCCATTTGCGTAGTTCCAAACTGAACCTGTGAGAGGCGGCAAAGCACTATTTGGAGTTCGTCGTCCTGAGTAGACGAAAGAGGAAGAAAGGGGGCGAAGAAGCTTCAGAGGCTTCAGTTCCTGTTTACATTGGGCCATTTGTGAAATTAAAATGAAGTGAGCGGAGGTGGATCGTGTCACAGACACAGACTGAAGGACAGGAATGTGAGCCCCTGCAGCAACAGTTCACACAGAGATGGACGAGACCAGGTCAGCTGCTTTATCTAATACCGGTTCAACACACTCTTGAACGTATTCATACATATATACTTGTAAATGTTTTCTTGTTACGGGAAGAATGCAATTTCGCAGCCTTAACTGTACCAGAATATTGTTTAAAATAATGTCAGATTATTTGTAATTTACAGATATCTTAACAGGTATATTACTATTTAAAATATACATAACTGTTAAGTAAGACATTGTGTTAAACTTGTTTTGTTACGTTATTGTAAATGTTTTAGTAACAGTTATTCAGTAGTTTATAGCATGTAACAACCTGGAACCTAAGTCCGTGTCCTCTTAAACCACATGAAAACACTTCTCTCTTACAGTATTATTTATATTTTCTGAACAAATTATTTTATTGTAGTAACATCGTTTTCTAATCTTATTATTATACGTTTTAATGTTTTGCATGACAGTCCAGTCAAGTGACCGACGCAAAATGCAATTAAAATTTTTAAAAAAAAGAGTTTCACCTTTTTCATTTTTTGTCATTGAGATGTGGTCCAGTACTTTGGGTAAACCAGAAGGTTGTCGGTTTGATTCTCTGTAATTCTGCATGTCCCCTGTAGGTAAATGACCAAATTAATTCAAAACTTGCCGAGTGGTTATTGATTCTAGAAAATCACAATAGAGCTACATAACCATTGCAATATTACAGGCTGTTTTATTATTAAAATTATTATTATTTTATTAACTATTAGTTTAGCAATATCCCAAAACCTTTCAATTTTTCACAATTGTCATTGTGCCAGACTGTGGATCGACACCCACTGTGGTAGTTTCACTTTTGGTTCAATTTTTGTGTTTGTATGTGGGGGGGTTTTAACAGAGATGAAAGGGTTAAGATATCTATGTAGACTAAAGTAGAGTCCACTGACCATTTATTGAAATCTTGTTACTTTGACTAGTGTCATGTGATTTTTTTTTTTGCAGAGAGGAGTGGGTGAATTTCCCCTCACAGGTGTTGTGAAAACTTGATGACTCAATATAATATGTGATAAAGTCCAGTTTAGTTATAAACTACTGGTAGCCACACCCACAGAGTGCACCCACTAACTCTGGTGCCCTGCAGGTGCTGTTTTAATCTTTGTAAGGGTTGGTATGTGCTCATGTGACTCCATGTGTTCCATCGCCTTCTTGAGGTGGAGGGGGCTCAGGGCCAAAGACATCACATGCGAACAAAGCCCCACAGTCAAACCAGGGCTTTCACTGAGACTCTTGCTGTGCAGCACAATGGCTGAGAATAATAAAAAATAACTTACTGAGTAATAACTAACAAGTATTTGATGATAACAATCCAATGAACATAAAACCACCAAGTGTGTGACAGTTGCCAAAAGGAGTAGTGAAATTGCTTCTAGTGTCTTTTTAAAAAACAAAAAATTTGTTTATTTCCGTCACCACAGTCCTTTGTTGGACAGTCAACCTCAGGACAGTCCTGACCTGTTGTCGCCAAATTTGAGACCGAGACACCAGGAACTGATCCCAACACCATGTGGACCGGTAAGAAGCTTCTTTTTATAATTCATTTAATAATTAATAATTTGACCCTTTTAACCCGTGGTGGGACGTCACACCGACACAATTGGTTAGCACTCTGCATTACAGCAAACTGATCGACCTATCGTGTGGAGGGTCTTCTTGTTCCTGTTCTTGTGTACGCCTGAATTTTCACTCCAGTTTCCTCCCACAGTCCAACAACATTAGCAGGATTACATCAGGGATGAACCAATACTTTGCTCAAATGCTAGTACTTTTTTGCCAAACCCAGCCCACAACTGCAACTGTTTTCTACTGCAGTTCAGTGTCTCATTGTCCTCATTGATAGTTTCCTTTAGTAGGTCAACAATGTCAAGAGGATTTGTTCTGTAATGATACCGGCAATTTTATAAAACATGTCTCCTCTCAGAGTTATTTAATCATTATCATGTTTGTTAATTAATTCTTTGAAACATGGAAATTGTGCTACAGTTTGAGTGACACTTTATTTACAGGAAACCAGTGATTTCAATTGAATTGCACTAGTGGTGTGACAGCTCTGCTCACTTTCTGTTTAGTTGGCTGTGTCAACCATTAAGAAAGTTAAATTTGAGCTAGTTTTTTTTTCTACTTTTAATATCAGTATTTTTTCTTTTAAAGATCTGCCGTTTTCTTATATTTCCCCAAAACAAATTAAGGTAATGATTGTTGAAGGCACTTATTTGTCATGATTCTGATTCAGGTAAAGCCCTGGGTGGAGCTGTCTTTGCCGGTGAAGCTCTACTACAGCTTCACCATCGTGTCTCTGCTTGCACTGCTCGGCCTTACTATAACCAGCATCTACAAACAGCACACAGAAACAGACGAGCCAGGAGAGGATGACTTCACTGTGTCTCTCATCCAGATGGTGGGAATATGTGAGTATTGCAATTATCTGTGTCTGGCACACTCACAAACACACACACACCCTATGAGGAAAATCTGTAGATCTGAACAATGAAGATTAAGACGTCTGATCATGAAAATCTCAAAATGATGCCAGTGTATAAAACGGTTCTGGTGATTCATTTCTCCCAGATGACGTTTCTGCTACACAAAAACGATCTTTTTCTTTTATTAATCTATTTTAGCTATTAAACCATTTTTTATTAAACCGTTTTAATTGCTGCCACACTTCACCTCCAGGGCTGGCCTTGTCCTTCATATGCCTGATAATTAAAGTGGTGTATTACACAACAAATAATTAGGAGTTAATAAGTAGCCTATGGTCAAACTTTTGTCATAAAACGGATTAATTATCTGAAGTTATCTAACCATATGATCTAGGTAGTGAAGTAGATCAATAAAAGTTAGGGAAAATGATGGAAGATGGAAACCTCAGCCAGAATACTGTAAATATGTAAAAAGGCCAGTCAGGCCACATTAAGAATTAAGAAAATATCTAAAATCACGAGAATAAAGTCGTAGGTTTAAGTAACTAAAGTTGAAACATCATTAGGAAAAGAAAGTCCTAATGTTTCGTGAATAAAGTTATAACTTAACAGAAATAAAGTCATAAATATATCAGATAATTGCATTATCTCACAAATATTTATTATCATAATTCATATAGGTGTAAAAAATACCATAACTACACAATCTGCACCACGTTTCTCCTTCTGACGCACTGACAGTTAACGATGTGTGTTTTCACTAATCTGCAGTGAATACAATATAAAGTGTGAACGTAAATAATACAGTGTTCAATTGTTTCAATGTCATAGCTATCACTTTACCATATTACCCATATATACTGTATGTACTGTACTAATAGAGAGGGAAACTAACCCTAACAGTTGCAGTTCGATCACCTTCTGTTCTCCTGCAGTGTTCTGCATCTACTACATCAGCCGTGGTGTTCTGCAGGAGAACAGACAGGAGCTGGTGGTGTTTGTGCTGAGTGTATTGGTCCTCATGATTAGATCGGTGGTCAACTTCACTGTGCTGGGGGCAAAGAGCAAGCAGGAGTTGCTGGTAGGTCCGACCCTACTGGACACGGTATTATTTACTTTTAAATATTGTAGTTTCATAATGCACAAAAAGTGAAAATGTTACAAAATTTTAGCATTTTTTCATTAATGTTTTGGTATTTCCAAAATAATGTTTCTAAGTATTTGGTTACTTGAAACACCAGTTACTTTATACTACTTCAATAATACATGTATTGGCAAATTTTAAAATTAGACTTTGCTTCCTAACTTTCTTAGTCTAACTCGTAATCTCAGTCAATTGATAGTCTATTATTATTATTAGTATTATCTCCTTTCTATTGGTGAAACATTACTCTCAACAATGTGTAAAGATTTTCCAACGACCTAGTTTTGTTAGTTTGAACTATTGGATTTCTACACACAACAAAGAAGATTACTTGAGATAAGAGCTCCATACAGACACACTCCTGATATATCAATATTTTTGTGTAAAAAAACTTGCTTACTGCAGTTGTCTTGTCAGCTATTTTCCTCAGGTCTCTCTGAAACAGACAGTTGAAAACATTTCAACACATTACAACACACACACAGCAACGTTTCAACATTAATATTGCAACATGACAAAAAGACTACAGGCAGATGCACACAGATGCAGCTAACTACTGTGCTGCTTCAGTAAGTAAAACAAAGTCATAGTTTCACCGCTAGATGTCGCTATTGTACCTCTTTTCTTGTGCTTCAGGTTCGATTTGTCTGCATCATGTGTCTGGGTGTGGTGCACGTCCTCTGCACCTCAGTGCTCATCCAGAAGCCCAACATGATGGCCTTTCGTGTGGGCGGGGCCTTAGAGCGGCTTCAGGAGCAGTACTTCCTGCTCAACTTCTGTTTTTCCATGGTGACCTTTGACCTGCAGGCTCAGGTTTGGATAGAACTATCATAATATCTTTGTCAGGTGATACATGCTTCAATTTTTACATGTACATGTTTTATAAGTAGAATGGTTAAACCCACCCTCCAATATAATAATTCATAAATTATGTTGAAGCCTCAGTCACAGAGTTGACATTTCACAATGTTTCTCTCTGGGACACAGAGAGAAGCAACAAAAATAGTAATATTTAAAAACATTCCTACTTAAAATAAATAAATACTTCAAATTCATTTTTAATTATTTTTAAAATGTAATTACTAGGCATTTTAGGTGACCTCCTGTGCGATCACAACCCCAAGGTTAAAAAACAGCAGTTAACGCAAACTGGTAGATTAGGCAAGTTATTGCCAGAATAAGGAAGAGTTAACCAACTTATGCCTTAAGTTGGCTGAACTCCAAAAAAAACTACCAAAAAAGTCACAGAAACTGTGCAGCAACATTTCAATTAAACAAATTAACACACAACAACAACTGTCAAATGACTCACCAAAGGTCACCTGCTGAGGCCTAATTTATCTACTGTGTCATTAAAACTGAAAGTAGACAAACTGCTGACTTAAATAAACTACACACCAGGGCCATAAGGAAACTAATAACACTGGCTGCTTTCTGTGCAGTTGGTTATAGAACGGAGTATGAGTACATGAGTAAACTAATGATATTGATGGTACTAAATATCTAACTGAAATACAATGATGTTCTGACGACCTCATCCTGACTGTTTCAGTTGTGTCTGTGCATCCTGATCACCACCTCGGACCCAGCCATGTCTGCTCGCAGTAGCATTATCCTGGCTGTAGGGGTTGTCTGGGCCTGTCTGACCGCTGCTGTAGGAGCTGTGGCTGTGAGTTGGGTCCACGACTACTCACCTCAGTATCATTAGTGAGGACATTTCAAAGGAAATGTTGACAAAATTGTGTTTGTTTTTCTGCAGGTGTTAAAAGAAGCCAAGGCCCTGGTGTGGGTCTTCATGGTCCAGAACCTCCCTCAAGTGGCCTTTTTTATCTACCTGATGTACACAGTGAGTCATGCACACTGTCAAAATGAGTTTTTACACTTTTTAGGGCCACAACTGATTTCCAAAAATGTGGGCAACAGAATTTTTAAAGGATGTGGGCTATAAACCTTTTTTTGGTCTCACCTCATTTACAGGATTTGGACTAAATTATTGGGCTTTATGTTAAAATGGATAAACAAAATAAACCAGCACCATGAGTATTTGTATGTTAAATAAATAAATAAATACAGTGTAGTACAATATCAATTATTTTAACTTTATTTTCACCATAAATCTGGTAGCTCTACGAGAAACACATCACAGCTCACCATCAGGTCAGACTCCACCTTGTCTGTGTAGATTCTACTCTGTCCGGACCCTTCAGTCAGCCGTCAGTTGTCTGCGTGATTTCAGGTGATAAAGAAGTGGTACGAAGACAACATCTTCACCCTGGAGGCAGCAGCTGTTACTGGAGCTCTGCTCTGTCTGCTCATCAAAGTGGTTCTGTTCTGGGGCCTCATTAGATTGGTGCAGAGCTTCGGTCAAGGCCTGAGGGAGAGAAGTGAGTGAGAATTTTTACTTTTTTGGTCATATTGTAGGCAGTTTATTTAAATCATGCTTAAATGTGATTGTTTTAAAAGTATTTGCTTGCATCAAGTTATTTTATAGTAATTACAAATTGCTTGGCTAGTTTCTACAACATTTTTGAAGGAATGTAGGTATTTGTTGATAGTATTTCCATTTTGGGTCAATTCTTTATCTATGTATTTATTTTTCTAGCTAACTTTTTTATCTTGAGATTTTGAGTAATTCTTGTTTTTTTGGTGATCCCTAAAATTTATTTTTGCTAACAGGAAGTTATATTTTTGGGATAATATATATTATTCTTGTTATCTACATTTGAGCAATTTTGCTATAGATATTGCATTTTTTGTCAATTTAATTTATTGATTGGCTAAATAGGACATACATTAAATTTAGTTTTGCTAAATTATGACTTTGATTTTCTTCTATTTTTACAGTGTTTGCAGCCACCAAGTGATAAAACAGCTAAAGGTTTAGGAACAAGGCCACTTCAGCTGAGCATGGAGGGTCAGACGTTGGGAAATATACATTTTTACCCATCATTCACTCTCACTGAAAATCTTTTTTCGATATGTTTTAATTTTTTTATATGATTTAATGTTTAAACTTAAATCAGCTCCAGGTTTATTATTTAGTAATTAACTAACTGCCCTTCTTATTTTGTGCCTGCTGTTTTTTTTAAATAAATGTACATAAAGACCATCTGTATTGTACGTGTAGACTTAGGCCAAACTTCCTTTTTAAAAACGTATTGATTGTCCTGTACTGCAGTGTGGGGGTTTCTCCCCAATGTTTTCTACAATCTCTGAAAGTAACACTGGAAAATTATTTGAATGAATTTTGCTACTGAACATCCTGCTGCACTTTAACATTTTATAGTAACTTTCTTAATAAAAAATGACAGATTATTTGTGTTGCTGTGATTCCTTTGAATAGGAGGAAATAACACATTTATCCCAGTTTGATCTAAGTAGTGTCTGTTAGAACACTGAAAGACAATATTTTTGTTCAAACTATTTTTGACTACTCATTGGATATTTCTCTGACACTTTTCTTTTGGTTTTGCCTTTTTTAAATATATTTCATTATTAACAGTTAATTCTGAGCAAGTATGTTTAGTTGTAGTAATTCTTTATGTATATTTTACTTTTAAAAACCCTTTTCTAAGACATCCTTTCCATTCATTTTACGTTTTCGTTGTAGTTGTTTTGATTCTCGTATAGCCCTTGGCTATGTCTGGACTATGCTGTCAATCAATGGCAATGTTATACAGTATTGTAGTATAACGACTCGTTATGTCCTTCTTAAGCCATGCAGCCATAATAAAGCAATTACTTAAGCAACAAATCAACGAACCACAATTCAGTCACAATTGTACCATAACGTACACATTTATCAAAGGTATCAATAGTAACATTCCAAAATTACAATATTATTAAAAGAACAAACTTTACTCACCGAAACGTCTAAATATTTGTACGAAAAAAAATCCACACTCCTCTCTTTCCTTACTACGTTGTACAGATTATCCATGCGTTGCAGTTCTAACAATTAGTCCTTTTCTGTTTCTATCCATGCTAGTGACAAAACTCCAGTCTGTCCAGTCGAGTTTTAATTTGCTTTGGGCTGAAAATGTCGCTCGACAGAGGCGGTGAACGCTGATGAAACTTATTGAAAAAATTTTGAGCGGGCAAGTCGCGGCAGAGACAGATACGACAATGTGTTGTTTGACAATCCAATCAACTCACTCAAATCGCCAACGTATCTGTACACCTGTTAGATGTTGCCAACTCAAATTCTAATTGGTTAAAGAAACAATCTCATTGCCCTTCATTTTAGCCTTCGTAAGCCTTAGGGCAGATTTTTTCACCCTGGCAACACGTGAAGCTGAAACATGATAGGATAGTTAAAGAAAGAAACGTCGAAAACTTGAATAAGTAGGAGAAATTCAGGAGAAAACCCACGAAAGAGACCACGAAACCATGAGAAGAGATTACTAATACTTTATAAATATTCGTGATAAATATACTAATAAATAAGTCACTGATTCTGACACTGTAAGCCAACAGAAAAGGTTGTGGTCTTGACAGTACACCACTGCTATAAACAAATCCTAAGCTATGTTAGCTTTAGCTTGGTTTTGACCTCTTTCCTTCTCTCAAGAATGTTTTTTTTTTTTTTAAATTAATTGTAGTTTGAATTAGTTTAACTTTAACTTAACTCTACTGGAGCCCTCGACCTGCTTCATGTTTATTATTTCTAGAGTACAGTAGACAAAACACACGGACACACGTCCTGTTTTAACTTTCTCTGTGTTTATTAAGTGCTACACAAAGGAAAAAAAGGTTTATATTTGAAACATGATTAAACTTTAGTGATAAGAAAAACAGAATTATAAAAGTGAAAAGCACTTTGAGAGGAGCATTTCATCACAGTCTGAAGAGTTCTTCATCTGTAAAGCAGACTGTTGGTCTGTAGTCACTTTGGCTTTTAAACAACCATCAAGTATTAAACAGTTATTTTCTACTGAATTGAACTTCTGATCAACTAGAAATTAGAGGAAATTTTAGACTGAGCTCAGAACTGGTAAAATGTTACGCCTTTGACAAAAGTTTAACAAATCCATGTAACAAAAAACCTGTACCAAATATATTTATTTTCAGCAATGACACACTGTAAACTGGTTAATAAACAAGAAGATGTGACAAAATACATCTTATTTTTGGAGAATCATAGGTATTTACACAGAGTCAAAGGAATGATTGTTTTTTACAGCCTGGTTGGTCCTCAACGTTCATCATTTCCAGCCAATGCAGCACAAACACACTTCCATGTTATGTAGATGAGTTAACGTTTGGACATCGTATGTGAACTGATATGTAATGTTAGCTTTGTACTGACAGAAAAGGGAGCACAACCTCAATGGAACTCCTTGTTAGACACACATTGGTCTTTTTCACCTCTGCAACACACACACATACACACACACACACACAGGGAGACTATTAAAAATGTACACAGGTCAACTATGGCTTTTTCAAAAGACATCATATCTTAATCTGGAATGAACATTTAGTGAGACGTTTGTCCAAGTGCCTGCAGGACAGAGACGACAATATTCAACCTTTTAACATTTTTTCCACAAACACAACTGTGCCGGCTAAAAAAAAGGTGTTGTGAAAATGCACAGATGCAACTTTGTGATTTTAGCAAAATAATCTATCTATCTATCTATCCATCTATAAAATAACATTATCAATGAACAATAGCAGTGGTTAAGGCACTACAGTTGGTGCAGTGGGGGCCACTGCTGGTGAGTCAATGTACTGCAAATTTGCTCCTTATCAGGAGCAAACATTTGTCTCGGAGTGTACCTGATTTTTAGAAGAAAACTGTCAACTTTGTAAAAATCCTTTATGGTCTGCCCTTCACTGTTGATGTTCTCACCAGAACAGAGTGAAAATAAGGCCTCGTCTGGTGTCACTGCCATCCACAGAGAGAGAAACACCCAAAATTATCCCAGCCATCGTCGCATTTTTTCCATCAAAAACTACAATTCGATAAATTGCATTCATACTAAAAATTATATATTTTTTAACAGGCAGGGTACTGTGAGAATCCTGAACCACCTGGTGATACCAAACTCCATTCAAAAAACAAATATTCAAAAATCAACTTAACACACATAATTTTTAAAGGTTGATTTAAACAGTTTTTCATTAATTTATAGTTGGTGCATACATTTTAATGTATGTTGATTGTCATCTTTTAGGTAACTGTTCAGTTTATTTTTCAGGGGTCTCTCACTAACCACTAGCTGTAAACATTTTCTTGTCATTAACTAAATGACTATTTTACATCAAAATGTCACAAAATCATAAAGTGCCCTCATGAGTACGTAAAGGTGTGTAAACGTGCAGTGTCATAATTTTTTCTCAATTTCACTAATTTGTTTTGTTTTCTAGATAAAAAAGTGAAAGATTTATAATCATATTTTAGCTTTGTTTAAACTATTTAAATCCATTTTTCTAACTGAATCAAACTCAACATTTCATTAATACATTTTTAAATTGTTTATTCTAGTTTTACTGTATTTAATTTATTATTTATTGTCTAAATAACATTAGCATTTTTAAATTCTCTCAGCTAGCAAACAGTTAGCTAACTCACGGCTTTGGACTCAAATAACAGAGTTATGTCATCGTTTCTGGGGATTCTCTTTTGTGTCAACATAACAAATACTGTAACAAAACAGCTAGTTTCTACTGAACGTATGCTTTATCAGTATAATAATCAAAGCCTGTTAGCCAAAACAATTAGGATAGCATCTGTAAAAACTGATCAAAGCTAAATAAAAATAAATCAATTTAGAAAACTAAAACTTAAATTGTTGCAAATTTTTTTTCAAGTATTGATATTGTTTTTTTCTTCCAAGTCAGATTAACTGGAGGCTAAACTAACGTCATAGTTTCCCACTCTTTCTTTTTTGAATGGAGTTTGAGTAAAGTCATGTTTAACAACTGTAGACCTACAGCCCTGAAGACCTTGGAGGGGGGGGGGCTTGAAGGCCATGGAACAGTCCTCAGTAATCCTCGTCCTCTGAGCTGAGGTAGTTCTGCTTCTTCCTCACGTTCCAGTGTAAACACTGAGCCAGGCTCTCGAACCAGTCGTTAACTGGGTCCCGGAAACAGATAGAGGGAACAGGGAAGCAGGAAGTGGTGATGGTAATACTGGTAAAAACATAAAAAACAAGAGATCAAATTCTGTAATTCAATGGTGAAAGATTAACAAAAAATCCAGGTATGCGCAAACGCCATGAACAATAGAGGACGTGTCAAAATCAGATGCTGCAACATCAACTTCCTTTAGTGAAGCCGTAGTGAATGGCTGTTTGTTGAAAAAATGCTTCAATTATTTGAAATGACAGGTCTGAAGCAGGAAGATGATTATCTTTGGACGACTTACATAAAGGAACAAACTGGATCTGGTGCAAAGGACACTTGGCCTAAAGCCCATTAGAACAGGTTGATGAGGTTATGTAACAAAGGCTGCCAGTGACAAGGCTGCTGAGTGACTTAAACTTATTATCCATTACCACTCATCCATTATTCACTCTTCCCCACTCATTATCATCTATGCTCTTAGCTGTTGCTGCATCCATGTGGGCTGGTGCTGTATGCAGACAAACCTGTCTCCGTGGCAGATCTCTTGTCTTTTCCTTCCATCGAATGACACCCATGCCGTGTTTCTGGCATCTTGAGACAGCATTATCTAAGAATGACAACAAAGCAATAAAATGAACCATGTTATGTACTCTCACAGGGAAGTAGAACAATGAATATCCCTGTTTGGAAATCACAGGACACAAACAGAAACACAAACTCAAACAGTTCAACTAAACTGTTATGAATAATAAATCATAAACTCTATAGTTTAGTCTTACTATATCTTTGTTTTGGCCATTTACAAAACGCATCCCTACTCATCTGTCACTCTGACCGCACACCCCACCACTGTCTCACACAGCCCTACACTACAACATTATACTTCTGCCACTCCTGAGATATAGGGGTAAGTCAAAAACGAAAGAATTATTTCATGAAAAGTACTTCACTACATATCCTCAATTTGACCTGTAGACCTCTTTATTTTAGGGAATTCCTTTTACATACAATTCTAGGCAAAGGCTTTCGCACCAAGTCACAACCTGCTTCATTGACTTGTCTCAAGACTAAGGAGTCCTGTCCAAAATTTAAAAAACAAGATCTAGATCACAACCTGTTACAAAACATTAAACATTTCAATAGCTTTCCGTCTTCTTCAGACTTTGTGAAGTCTAAATACCTTGAGCTCCACTCCAGCAGGTACCACGATGGGCCTGAAGGAGAGTGAGTGCGGGCAGATGGGTGTGATCATGATGGCTGGAACGTTGGGATGGATCATGGAAGCTCCGGCTGCCACTGCGTACGCAGTACTTCCTGTAGGTGTTGATACTATTACACCTGGGGACAAAAAAGACACACATGCACAAACTTCACACTGTGGTTCAGGATGTTGATGTAATGATCAGAAGACAGAAACTACTCAAACCGGTAGAGCGACTTCAGTACATCACTGTTGCATCAGATGATATACCAGCATGCACTTTGGTTGCATGGATGGTACACAACCATGAAACCAAAGTGCATGGCTAACAACCTTGTACCACTGATTCTGTTCTTGTTTTGTTGTTAGCAACCAAGTCAAGTTTGAGAGAGCATTCTCACTACCAATGTGTGCCTGTGCAAGAGGACGACCCTTGGACACATGAATATAGGATGGACTGTAACAGCAGGAACACTCACCGTCTCCCTGCACTGTGGTAATGAGGTGTCCATCCAGGAAGAGGTCCACGTTAGAGAGATAGGAGGAGGGTCCTCTGTCCACCACCACTTCATTTAATACCTGAAACAAAGAAGGTTGCTGTCCATCATTTACATTATACCCCACCCCACCCACCAGGCTGCTCCAATCATCTGATGACAGCTAGGATTGGAGTAAGACACAGTCCTCTCTTTCCTGTCACAACAAAAACTAACTAATGTATTATGTAATCATCATTAGGGGACTGGGGATTGCTCACAGCTGCAGACACCGCCTGACGACTGACCTGATACTGCATGGCTTTGTGGTTGTTCTCACTGTCCCCGTTGGTCAGGATGATGCCCTGTTCATCCATCTGGGCCTTCTTCTCCCAGTTCTTCTTCAGAACACGGACTTTCAAGCGACTTCGCAGGACAATAGCAGCGTTGCCTGTGAACAACACACATGCTAATTACAGACCAGTTTCCCGCACTACACAAAAGTGGAGGGTGTTTTACCCAGAATCTGGGAAACAGGTTGGCAAACATTCACTACCTTCAATAATTTGGGTGACCTGAGACTGGTATGTGTCAAATTTAAAAGGCGTCAGGAAGCCTAGGGACCCCAGGTGAAAGGCCATCACCGGAGGAACGCTCTCCTGAACCAGGAATGACAGAGTGTGTTACAGTTTACATGACAATTAAAGAAACAAACAAAACATTTTTGTTTTTCAATAGAACTTCTTAATACCTGAAAGAGAGACGATGCATAAAGCAAGGTTCCATCTCCACCGAGGCAGATGATGAAGTCCACACGGTTGGAGATGTCATCCAGATCTTAAATTAAAAGAAATACATTTCATGTCAAAAATCAACCCTGTTGTTTGATAGGCTGATACCAATTGACAGGAACTGCTGCTTCACCTTCTCTGAAAGTGCAGAACTTCTTAGTAATGGCCCCAAAGTTTTCATCTGCAGATATGGCTGGGTCTTCCAGAACTTTCTTCTCTACGTAAACAACCATGTCCTTCACCTGCAAACACACACAAACAGGGGTTTAATGTAGACATTAGAGCTGCAACGTAAGGATTCTTCTTAGTTACATGACTGGTGCCGGAAACCTGATTGGTTCCACCGGTGCCACAGAGCAGCTACTTCCTGTTGGTCTACAACAGGTGTTGGTCTACTTCTATAGCCTTACACCCTCAACTGGTTTGATAGTCAACAATGCTAATATTTGAGATTTAACATTAAGGTTTTAATGTAGCAGAGACGATAAGAAACACAGGGTGAAAGTGTGTGCGTGTGTGAGTGGGGTGGGGCGGGAGGGGCAGGGAGTTATCAAAGAGCCACATACAGAAACAAACAGTCATTCACACTCACAGTCATAACCTGCAGATAACAATGAACCTAATCCTGCATGTGTGTGGACTGTGGGGGGAAACCTGAGTGACGGGAGAAAACTCATGCACCCACAGAGACTGGACTGGTCAACTGTCCAAGATGAACCACGCCCTCACCTGACAACTGCTGGGACTAGCAGGGACTATTTATTTGTGCTGGAACAGGAGCGCAATGGAGAGGTGCTGTAGCGAATTTAAAAAGTTCAAATAAAAAAAATTAAAAATGTAAAATGATTTTGAAGAGACACTTTTTCTTTAACATTTTTTTGGGTTCTCCTAAAGTGAGACTAAAAATACGCCACTTATGATGTGACTTTAAATTTGCTCATCGGGTTGATGATGAACAAGCTTAACTAGATCGAAATTTCACATAGAAAATTAAGAAAGAAAAGAAAGTTACTATTTTACTGTGTGTTTATGTTATTATGTAACTATTACTACACTAAATGATTTATTGACAACAGTGTTTCATTGACTTTGAAACGCTGACCCATACAGATCACGTCTGCAAAATAATAATCATTAATCCCCCCCCACCCCCCTCCTACACACACACACACAACCACAGCAGACGTACCTCTGTGAGGAACACACAGAGCTCTTTGAAAGGCTGAAGAAGGCTGGGGTCTCGGATCTTCTTAATGACAAGGACACTTTTTGGTGGATTGTTCCATGTCAGTCTCTGGCTGGCAGGGTCCTGAAAGTGCCTGCACAGACACACATACAGATAGGGTAAAGTTGAGGGCCAGACTCAGCAATGGGAAACACAGCAGTTAGTGTACAGCAGGGGGCGAGGAGGAGAAGGAGGAGGAGGAGGAGAAGGAGAAGAAGAAGAAGAAGAAGAAGAAGAAGAAGAAGAAGAAGGAGAAGAAGAAGAAGGAGAGTGTGCAACTGTAAAGCTGCAGGATTAGATAGAAATACACAAAGTGACTTCTAATTAGGTGTGTGTATACAGCAGGCTGTAGGAATCCGCTCGAAGCGAATGTCAGGTCGTACCATATATTTTCTGCCTTCTTAATGCCCCACCCTGCCACAGGTGTTCTAGGCCTCTATAGCTGCTGCTGTAAAAATGTTAATAAGGGGTAATTAAAGTATAGGATTAGAATGTGTTGCCAAAAGATTTGCAATAAATGTCAGAAACAATTTACTCTCTTGGCTACACATGAGACATTTCATGAGTTGTTATTTTGACAGAATAATTCAAATAAGTGTGCTTCATCCAGGTTGCATAACATTTTCCTATGTCTACAGTGTGTTCTACTGTCTTAATCTAAAGAAACTGTCACAGAGCTGACATCTGTGGACAATAACATTAACAATACGTTTGTTTGAGCCTGTTGGGACTGACTTTTTAACGTAGAGTCTAAACAGCAGCTGCTTTCTCCCTTACGTCATGACTTCTATCAACAAATAAAAACGAACAATTGTTGACACCAGTTAAATTGTCCTGTTTCTGTTCAGAGGTTAATAAGAAAAGTTAAGTTCACATTTATATAAATTAAGCTCAAATAAAATAGTTTATTTTATGTATTATTTATTTTATCTTCATTTTTAACCGATTTATGCGATCAAATCAGTGAACTAAAGAGTTACAGAATAAATTCAGGAGTTCATTAGTCTGCTCATGGTTGCAGCCATCATGACGTCAGCCATGACATAATGCAAATGTTTTCTCCTTTCTGAAAGGACCTGCTCAGACTGATGACAAGACCGAGCAGGTTTTCCCTTTACCTGAGCAAATACATTCAGTTTCTAGTAGTATAGTAGATAGTATAGCATAACATGTCCTGTCATCTGTCAGTGTGAGTGTTTAAACACAGTAATGATCTGTGGATCACATCAACAACACTTCCCTACAGTAAAACCTCCATCCAGGTAAATGAGAACCAGTTGAACAAGAAACAGCGATACATATTTAGTTCCTTTTTGTGTAGTCGAAAAGCTGAAAATGAATAAACTACGACAAGAGGATGGAACGCTGCAGTAAATCTGAACATCAGGTGTGACTGTTTGAACAGGTTGGCATGCCCATTATATTGCTTTTAGAATTGTTAAAAATTACATTCATATAAAGACCACAATCACCACAACACAGACCAACTAAAATCAGATCAAAGCAGAATGTCATTAGCATTTCAAGCAGACAAGCCTTAATCTATTCAGAAGCATTTAGTCCACAGACTGCTTCAAAACATCCGCACCAGGAGCTTCCGTTGTCAAGACAAGAACAATAATTTCCTGCATTTTCCAATTTTTTAAAATTCAGCCCTCCTCCTCTGACATCCATTTATTCCTACACTTTCTAAACAATCTCCATGTCCGCCGTCAACACTTTAAAATCGAAGAAACAAGAAGCTTCTCTCACCATTTCCACTCTTTTTTGTTGTTGTCGTTCCCTGGTAGGTCCTGCAGTACACACTGACTGAACTTCATGACTGCACACATCTGCGAGTAATAACCTGGCTCACGTCGAATTAGCTGGACATCCACAGATTCTCTCCACAAAAAATCATTCTGTCTTCAACAAGTGTCTTGTTCAGTGCTTATGGTAGAGGAGCAGCAGCAGCAACAACACCAACAGCAGCAGCCGCAGGAGCAGAAGTTGAGTAGAGTGGGTCCAGTTCTTGAAAGGTGGGTGTCTCCGAGTCAGCAAACCAACAGCCTTCAACTATGATCTCTGTGACTCCATTCCTTCTGGTCAGAACACGACACTTGGATGTCCCTGTCCACGACTGCTGCTGCATTTAGCCTCTCACCCGCCTTAAGCTTGACTTCATATCTTTCTCCACCCACTCTGCTGTCAGCTGAACACACCCATTACAGGGGAAGAGCCTGCCTGATTGGACGGAACAGGTGTGACTCCTCACAGCCACAACAACAGTGATCTGGCTCGTCTCTAATTCTCAGAATCCATTGTAATGACAATTATGCAAAAAATGGTATGACCAATGTTGTTGCAAAAACATATCAATCAGCTTTGGTGAGTGAATGAAGACACTGACTGACTAACCACAAGAGAGACTCCTACCACGAGGTGTTTTGATGAGAGGACTATTAGACCTGAGGACAAGCAGGAAGGGGGAAGTACAGACAGCATTCTCTGCCAGAGCAGAATTATACAATTATGTATTATGGGAATATAATAATTAACCTTTGTAATGTTGAATCACAGACACTATAAGGAAGTAAGTAGAACAAATGTACTTATGTTTTAAGCCATTCCTCTTTACTAGTACTGTAGAAGGAACTGTGTAAACACCACATAGAAAGACAATGTTACCTTTGATAGCAGTACATTCTTAATTTACGCAAGTGTTTTCACTGGAAATTACCATGAAAAAAAAAACATAAAACTTGTTAACGTCAGTCATCTTTCTCTGTCAGAATTTTCTCTTTCTCCTGAAAGTTGACAAGAACATTTGTGTCCAAAATAATTAATGTGGATTTGCCCAAAAAAGTGGCAGTAATGTAAGTCAAAGCATGCAACAGTTAGGTAAAAACCCAACAAAAAAATGAAAAAAAAGTTTGCAGAATATGCTCGTCTGTATGTTGAGATGTTTTTCATAGATTTTACCCAGATTCCCAGGTGAAGACAGTTGATGCGGCCGGCTGGCACAAAAGTGTGTTTGTGCATGAGGAGTAAAGTGTGTGAAAGGAGCAGAGAATACCTGACCTCAGTCAGTCAGATGTCAGCCAAATTTAATAAAATCATGTCGTGTGAACTGATTACCGACTCGACTGGTATTTCTGTTTAGCTTCCAAACTGTCGCACGAAGAAAAGTTTGATGTTTTGATTTGACTACAGTTGCTTTGACAGATCACAGTCTGTCATCCCTCACCAGGCATAGCTGTGTGATCCAAGTCCTTCAGTAGTCATACACCATCCACTCCGTTAGTGTGTACATTCCAAAACAAAGTGTGTAAAAACTGGAAAGTTCTCTAACAGCAAAAGTCAAATAATTGCAGAAGAACAAACAACTAGATAATGTGTTTGTTTTACGCTGTGGAATACTTTTTTGGCATCAGTTAGAGAAAACTGGGTAAAAATATAATAAATTGGTGCTTTGTGTCGGAAAATAGTAAATAACTTGAACATATTTATTAGGGCTGTCGTAATATATAAATCTTATCAACTGATGTGTTTATGAAGATTAATTAAGATTTGATTGTATTTCAAGACGTTGACAGACCCACCTGTCAATACACACATTTTTACTTACAGCAACAACAATTATTTGATTAACTAAATAATTAATCATTAAAATAATTTACTAATTCACAGCTAACAGTGACTGATTTTATGTGATTTTGTCTTTTAATGGATTTAAAAGAAAATGCCAAGCCCTGTTATATAGGATGTCATAAATGATTTATTATAAAATAAGTCTAAACTGCCTTAAGTTAGAGTCCTTAAAGTGAAAGCTCTTTATTTTTAAAGGTTCAAATGTTTGGGTGGAGGTAAACGCAGCTGTGAGCTGTACAGAGTTGAACATGTCTGACTTCACCTCATTATCTGCCCTTGACTGTTTCAGAAAAACAACTGTGGGCGAGGGAACGATTCTCAGACGAGAGGTTTTCCTCTTGTGCACTTGTGTACTGGCTAGATGATAGAAGAAAAAAAACATTTAAAATGAGGAGCGTATTTTTGAGTGTATTTTTAACACTCCTGAGACAGAGTAAAGTAGGACAGATCCTTCTCAAGCTTTTGATCCAATTGTTTGTATTTGTTTACCTTGTTGATCTTGAGAGAGAGAGAGAGAGAGAGAGAGAGAGAGAGAGAGACAGGGAGCGAGAAAGACAGAGACAGAGACTAACTAAGCGACTGGTCTAGAACAGGTTTAGCTTGTTTGGAACATTCCAGTGTTTGCTATTTAAATTCATCTGGCAGCTTTGAGGAATCCTAATCCTCCTTGTGCTGGAAGACAAACAGAGCCAAGTGCCTCTTATTGTATGATCAGGGTCAAGAGGTCAGCAGCATGGCTACGTTTGACAGATGATTCATAAGGTGGATGTGTCCATCAGGTCCAGGAGGAGAAAACACACTAGGTGTGTAAAGCATTTAATCAGCAATGATTCAATGTTTAAACTAACAGCCTTAAACCATAATGATGACTATTCTGAAGAGGGAAATGCTGCGGTTCAGGCAGAATGTCATGGTTGTTAGCTTAGCTCACCAGAGCCATTCGAATGAATGGTCACAAGATCAAGTGCAGAGCAGGTGTTCAAATTTAACAAACACTGAACATCACATCATATCTTTGTTACTTTTAAATCGTGATCTTTACCGTCTCCCCTCCACCTTCTGCTCTAACACTGTAAATGTATCCATTAATAAGCTAATAATAGCCATGTTTTGGCGTAATTTATGCTGTGTATTTATGTCTGTGGCCAAGGTAAACAAGGAAAAGGAATTCAGTGATGGGTCCAGGCCAATGTCACTAAAACCAGTTGGTTGATTTACGACGAGGTGTATAGTTAAAGTCAATTCTACGTCTATTCTAGGTCATGGGGGCAGATTGAACACTCTTCCAACAGCACAGTAACTGTGCTGTGTTTATAATAATGATAATAAATATGAACTTGATCCCAGAAATTCTTGTGTTAACAGCAGATATTAGAGGCACCAAGTACATACAAAAACCACTACACTACGGAACCCCTGTGGTGAGCAATCAGAAATACCTATGGTAAAAAGTCTTGGGGGGGACAAAACAGACAAAAAAGCAGTGACTTTTTTTAACTTACATTACTGCATTTGGGTTCTGAAGCATGCATGCCTTTGGACCAAACGTGGTCACAGGGCTTGGTCCATGAAGTGACTGATTTCTCCTGAAAGAAAAAAAAAACAAAACAAAAAAAACAAGATGAACTCTCTGTACACTTTGCTGGTGTAAAATTACTTTATATGCTGTGGATTTGTGGTAAATAAATACAAACATTATTTGTTTTTTTTATTGATCAGGAAACTATGACAATTGAAGAAAAAAATTCATGGCTCTTTACATTTACACAGTCTAATTTGATTGGTTCAAACCCTGCAGGTGATTTATGTTATCTCCCACCCACCGTGAGACATCACAGCAGTCTGACATTAGACTTTGAAAATCAAGTTTAGGACCAGAATATTGCACAATATTTGACAATCAGCAGTAATTAATTGAATGATGTGTGCAAACAATCCACTGTGAGCAGTTCTTCCTCAATATAGTGTCAGATAGGGAAGTTATTTCCACAATGAACATTCTTCTCCTCTGATCCAGCTCAGTGATACTGGGATGTAGAAAATGAAAAAAAAGAAAAAAAAAAAAAAAGATAGTTGGCCAGAACAACAGAGGCTCAGAGGAGGACAAATCCTCTTAGTCTGATTCTGCAAATTTACCATCTGCTGTTTGCTGAAACCTAAAGCTGCTTTACTGGACATTTTCACATGGATGTGTCGGGTGTGGCTCTGAGGACAAATAGCAACGTTTATAGGAGCTGTTTATCATATCATTTTTTTTCATCATTAGTCATTAAACCACATTAATTCAGTCGGCTGATAATGTTATTAACCGAATGCTCTTAAGCTAAACAAGGATTTTTTTAACAAAGTATTTCTGAATGTAATCACATACATCTAAGACCACTCAGTAGTTTTTTGTACTAATGCTGTGCCTATTTTGCAGGATTGGGAGTTCTTGAAAACATTAATTTGTCCTTGAAACAATTTTTTTTCAAAATTGTTGTGATAGTAATGCACATTTTTGGCTTGCACTGAAGTACAACCCCCTCGGTATAATTTACGTTTTCACAGAAAAGACTTTAATACTACATTTTTTGAAAGTTTGTACGATGGATCCAAGTTTGAACTTCATTCTTAAGGATTGAAGTGGTTGTTTATTCTTAAACTTTCTACACCACCCACTAATATTGCCAATTAGCCTGATCATTCAGATTTAGCGTTTTACCAGAATACCTCTAATTCAGATCACTGTTGTGGAAGTCAGGTTTTTGCACATAGAAAAAAAACACACATGTAACATCCGACTATATTTCTTCACAGGTAGTGAGGCAGCTGAGACGCTGCTTTTGTTGTCGTTTGGGGTAAAGTCTTTTCACTTCTGTTTAGAGGGAAATGTCAATACCGTTAGACAAACACACAAACGCAGTCTTTGCAACACAAAGAATGGCGAAACATTTGAGGTTCTGCTTCTTTGAAATGGTTTCTGTGGCGACAGTGACATTATTGGGACACTTTTCGTCATTTAGAAATAACGTCAGTGGAGCAACAGGGATCATGTTACGAGATGTTACTAACATTTCTCAGGCAACTGCGGCTAACAGCAGGTGTTTACAAAAAATCACAGCAGGTTATGATGCTATGGCGAAAAACCCCAACTGGATGTAAAGCAAGACGAGACATTTGTATAAATGGTCTGATTCTTTGGAAATCCACTCACTTCTTTGATTTGATCAGATGTACCTGTAACATTACATGACATCAAGTCTTTTATTTATTAATTATTTTTTAAAAGAAACTTTTAACCATCATCTTCTGCCTAATCCTTTACTCAAAGTGAAACAGGAGCTCGAGTCAGACCGGGTTATCAACCCGAATAAATTACCAGTCCATCGCAAAGCCACACAGTCACACACATGTTCACTTTGGAGGGAAAATTTAACCTAATTCTCATGTGTTTGGATGATGGGAAGAAACTGGAGCGCACAGAGAAAACCCAATTACACAAGGGGAGGAAAGGCAAACTTTATGCAAAATGATCATCAGTAAACCAGTTTTGAAACAACAGTCTTCCTCCTGTAGAGCTAAAAGTCCTCAAGCTTGTTCTCTCACAACTACTGATCCAACCTGTTTACTAAACCATCAGACCTTTGACCTTTGTTAAGACACTCTGCTCACCTGTAATCAGCAGAGGCGCAGACTGAAGATGTGCTCAGGCTGCGCGTCTTTTTGTTGTGTCGAGCCTGGCTGCGACGACCGGCTTCCCCTCCTTCACGGGTAGAGCAGCAGCATGGAGCATTCTCCAACCGCAGCTTCTCTCCATTATCCATTTCCTTCAGACAGCAAGGCTGCAGGTTAACAAACAGGTCATGGCACTGATTTACCAAGGTGAATTCTAACAATGTAACACTGGGGAGTTATTTAAATGTTTTGCCTGCATCTGAAATTTTCAGTAGTGGATTTCAAGGACAAAGACTGAACTTTCTTTTTAATAAAGGCGACCTGTTGGATCACTATGGTGTTAAGCCAACAGTACACAAAATTAAAACATTTTATGGTGACTATTAAAGGCAACAAGATACATTCCTCCTACATGTTTAACAGGGATTTAACAACAGTTCCCAACTGCAAACAATGTGGTCTTAAATTACAATTTCCTTATTTCTTCTATTATAACAGTGGTTCCAAAGTGACTGAACAAGTACCACGCTGTTATAAAAACCAACATACACCAAGGTGGTTCAATATTTAAAAGTAAAGGTCGCTTTTTAATTCGGCATTCATTATGTCAACAGGGTCATTATTTTTGTTTTTAAACTTTAACATTGCTGTAATTGCTCAAGAGTAAGTAGTGAACAGTCACTGGACGATCAATTGTCAAGTATCCGAGTGAAGGACAAAAGCCGCAGCAGCTCCTACTAGCTTTCCGAGAAACGTCAACAATATACAATGTCATTGTTTAGTGTTTAATATGAAATAACATTATTTTTGCGTCCGGTATATTTTTTTAGCAGCTGTCACGTAAGTATACTTTAAGGAAACATGTCAGAATCCCATTATGACCCAACAAGACCAGTCGATATATTATAAATGTACCAACTAAATCCACAAATACAAAAATACAATGAATGAAAACAGGCTACGAGTCGAACTCTTCGGGCTCTACAGCAGATGAATGGCGCTGGTAACGGAGACGAACGACTATCGCGTTGAGGCTAGTTAGTTAGCAGGGTTAGCTACAGCTTTATCAAGTGCAAACGAAAGCGTTAAAACGTCTTGATTTACGGCAGTGTTATACCCACAATGTTACAATGGACGCACTGGAACTGGAGTGAACCACCGCTGGATCAGAGTCTGGCCATGTATTTACACGGGGTAACCGAGTTTCACCATCTTACTCATTAGCATAGACTGTCAACAGTCAGCTCATCACTTCCTTGTTCTCAGCGACCAATCAAAGATCCCCGTTTAGTGACGCCATGTAGGGCGACCTCAACGCCGTGCCCAAAACGACGGTGAGAAAAAGTGTTCATCTTTTTAAATCAGAAATACTTCAAACATAGGCTTTAACGAGACTGAGCAGACATTGTGCTTTTTTGTGTTTAATTATTGAGGTTAAGGTATTTTATTAACTGTTAGCCAGTTCTGAAATACTCCAGGCCAGCTTTAAACAATGCCCTGCCATTACTGTTTCTTAAAACGACATTTGCAAGTGTTTGACACATTGTTTTCCTGGGCTTACTATGGTTAATTGTTTCCCTTATTTTTAGCCATTTTTTTCTGGTCAGCTATCAATTAGCAATTTTGAAAATTTGTATTTGCATAAAGTACTTTTCTCTTCTTTGGGGATATTTTAATCATGGTAACACTGCTAGCTATTCTTAAGTTTATCAAACTTGAGTGCCTTTAAGTACTTACTGTTCAAATTATTGAACATTAAGAATTGTAATGTAAAATGTTGTAATTGTCGGCACCCTCAACCTTGACCAACAATTATTACAATTTTGTGGCTCTTGTAGCCACTTTTGCTATCTTACAGCAATTCCTTCCCCATTTTTATTCAGCAATGCCTGGATTTATTTTATTAAAGCATGCATCTAAAAAGCAGCTTTCTTGTGTGTGCAGTAATTCCCAACGTTTGTTTGCTTTAACCCACACTACACATTAGTGATGTCACAGAGGAGTCAGACAGTGGATAAGAAATTGTTTTTATTTGACTTAAACATAATTACAAGGAAACCAAACAGTCTGCAACATTCTAGCTTCAGTGGGAACCTCTCTAAGTGAATCACACTCAACACAGTAGGTCATCTCAAACTGCTTTTTATTACATCTTAAATAACAGTACATTTTAATATAGTTTCTATCTTGCATCCAGCTTTCGGTTGTACACTGACTGACTTTAAAATTAAATACAAAAGGTGAAAAGGGAACAGTGGGGGGGTGCAGAGCTCTACAGTTATTTGACGGAGAAAGAGAAAAAGATAAGGGAATTTTAATAAATTTTTATTATTTTTATTTCATTTTATTTTTTGCCAACTCCAGGCCTAACGCACAATTACAGCACATTTTTTGTACAGAATGTCGCAGAGAAAAATAAAACAAGAATGGAAAAAATGTCACTACTGCTAAAGAAAGAGCATCTCTTGTTTACAAGGAGAAGGGAACAACAGAAAGTTCTGCCATTCAGATGCTGCAAGATTTTAGATATTTTTTAATAAAGGACAAAAAATGTTAAATGTTATAAAATGTTTCTTCTTGTGGAATTTGTGTTTGCTACAGTAGGAATGACAATTTTATTTGTTCCGCTTGAGATTGTTGTGTATATACGGGTGAATCAATGTATATGTGTACAATTTTTTTTTTTAATATTTGCGTGTCTTCTCGATTTTTGTTGAATCCCTCCCAAGTGTGGACCAAGTAACCGTTTGTGTTGCAGGGTTTTCGCTTCTCAGGTGCATAGCTTTGACATTTGAGTTGAATCAGGTATGCACAGAGTCGCCGAAAACAAGGAAAAATAAAACAAAGAAAAGACAAAAGAAGAAAAAAATATAAATACCATTGTATTGATATATTCAACAGGTTATTTTCTTGAAAGAAAAAACATCAAAAGGACTTAATTCCATATGCACCTTTTTAAGCAATTCTACAGCATGCGATTCTAAGAGATATCCCACCCATGGCAGACAACCAAAATCTTTGTTTTTTTGTTTTTTTTTCAACGTTTTTAACTTAAAAAGTTTTCAATATCATTATTTTCAAACATTGATTTATACAACATGTCATTCACAGAGTAATAACTGCATTTCCAAGCACGGAATGGGCACCTCTGCTAGGAGAGAAAACGTCCCGGTCGCAACCGGGCCAAAACTGGAAAAACCAGGCCAATTACAAATTTAAAAGAAAAGAAAAAAAGGGGAAAAACAGGGGAGGTGGGTTGAATTACGATGTTCTGATGGGTTAATCTTCATTTATTTCTTCTACACTGCCGCCAGACAAAAAGTGTAAGGATGGTTAAAATGCTTTTTGATTTTTTTTTTTTTGTTTTTCGTTTTAAAAACGAGCATTCATTATCATAAACAGCATGTGCTTGGTTAGTTAACTTTTTTAAATTTTATTTAGACATTATCCTATATATGCAAAGTTTTAATTTTTGTGCAAACAAAGATTTGTGGACTACACTGGAGGAATAAAAATAAAGAAACAATTAAAGTAAGATGGGACTTAATATACAGAAGGGCCTTGAGGTGGCGGTGAGGACTCCCTGTTGTTGAATCTCTAATTCTCTCACTTTTGTTCTCACGTGGTTGGGATAAAGCTGGGTTAATAATAAAAAAGAGACGTGATCTGGACTTTGTTTTAGTTCTTGACTTAAAAAACAAAAACATTCTCTTGAATGTGTAAAGACTGTGATAAAACAAAGCTTTTGATCCTCGTTTTTGACATGTAAATGACAGTTCACTGCTTCTCTTTCACAAAAAAGTCAAACTGAAAAAAGAAACAAAAAGCTATTCAAGAGTTAGATCTTGTCGTGTAATAACCTTCACTCACGCCTGACCTGTGGACGAGGACATGTTTGCTTCATGGTGGTGATGGTGGTGGTGGTTGTGGTGGTGAGGTGTGTGTGCGCACTTGTGTTTTAATAATCACGTACTACAATATCAGACCAGGATCATGGGAGAAATCACTTTTCCCTCCCCTCCATTTAGAAACAATTATTTCCTCAATCTTTTATTTATTTATTTATTTTTTTTTCAGTTTATGTAGCGGAATGAATGACAGACATTTGTGCTCTTTTAAATGAGAGGGGGTGAGAAAAGGGACAGAGAGAGAATTTTTGCCCTTGATAGTTTTTAGGGGTGTTTGGAGTCAGTATCATGGTGATTTTTTTTTTCCTTTTTGTTTTTGAAAAGATTGGATATGCAATAAAATTGAACATGGTGATTTTGGAATGGTGTTCTGATCAACTTTGGAGTCCGGATGCCATCTAGGAGGAAAAAGAAATAGGTTAATTCACATATTCTGGAGGCAAAAACACCAATTTCCATAAATCTTGTGCCAAGTTTTTGTTCTCCTTTTTATGTTACAGGCAACAAGGGATTTTATATCTACATTGCACATGCACTTTCAATAACCGCCACCAGATGGCGGTCGTTACAAACTCATAATTAATTAGACTACATTGCCTGCAATAGGAGACAACAGCTAAACTTTCAATTTACCTTCAGACTCTAGTTCCAGATTTTGAGGAAACTGTCCCAGGACCCTGTTGCCACTGCCATGCCGTCATCAGTCACACCCAAGCAGCTCACCCGGTTATCATGACCAGCCAGGACACCTGGACACAAGAGTGAGGTATGACAAACTGTACAAACCCTGGTCTGTCTGAAGGACAAGACAAAGCGATGCTTTGTTATGAACTCAAACATAGTCGTTGCCACCATCTCAGAATCAAACCTCATCTACATCGATGATTTTTGGACAATTGTGCTGTGTGAGCCAGTGTGATTTTTCTGTTTTAATTAAATCAGGCACCAACACGTCATGTCAGAGTTGGAACTTCTGTCTGAATACTGAATTTGAAACAGCCAGCTCAGAGGTGGGTCTCCTCTGAACCCTGTCCCACTATGTCAATAGCTGTAAAGTATTCATGCCTCCACAGGGGCTCATCACTGCTGGAGGATGTGATGCCTGCTCATCTTCTAAATGTGCATTAGTGCCTTTTACACCTGTATTTCTACCCCTGAGATGAAAATAAAATAATCAAAGAAACCCCCAATTTGTTTTCCTAATAGACAGAAATTATCATTCCCTAATTATCATTTCCCTTCTAAGGCACTTCCTTCTGAGTAGCCATTCGCTCTTTTCAATCTTTCATTTATTTGTTCCACTGGTGGAACAGTGACCTCTGCCCTGCGACTCTTCTTGAACAACTCAAATGTTGTCAGATTAGGAGTGGCATAATCAATTTTGCACAGGCCTGAACAAAAAACAATACAATCTCTAATCAATAACAGCTTGACATTAATTGAAAAAATACTGATCCGTAAAGCGTCTAACTTCTCATATCTGTTATTTGCTACTGCTTCACTTTACACTATTTTATACAGAACTTGATTCTAAAGAGTTTGATCATAATTCACATTGCTTTAAAAACTGATCCCTACTTAGCACATTAGTTGCGCTGCCTCTTAACGCCTAACCCTGTTTTTGTCTAATTGTTAAATTCCTAAGGCAGCACTCTGTATTTGTGTTAGTGATCCTATAACTGCATGTCTGATATTTACACTCTTAATCCAACAGGTGCTGTTTCAATACTTGATGTAATGCATGATAATCCATCTCCTTTACCTGCACGGTCAGCCTTCAAAGTGTCCCAGACGTTGCAGTTGAAATCATCGTAGCCAGCCAGCAGCAGACGGCCACTCTTGGAGAACGCCACAGAGGTGATGCCACAGATGATGTTGTCATGTGAGTAAACCATCAGCTCTTGGTCAGCACGCAGGTCAAAGAGCCGGCAGGTAGCATCGTCTGAGCCTGTGGCAAAGGCGTTGCCGTTGGGGAAGAACTGAAACGAATGTGGGGATAGATGTTTTTAATTTGAAGATACTATTGTAAATGCATCTTTTACTCAAACTTGTAAGACAGTAGGAAAAATAGAACGTGTTTTTAATGTGACCCAAAATTATGTTGAAGTCTTAGATGTGTAGTTTTTAGTAGCCACATTTTATCTGTGCTTTTAAAGCCAAGTATGGAGCATCATGTTATTAAAATAGTTTTATAACAGACATTGTAGTAATAAGTGTTGGTTGTATACACTGCTATGATCAAATATGAAGTAGTAATACACAACAATAAAAATGGATGTACACAAAGAATAAAACAGGAGTAAAAGTTCAAAATGCAGTGGAACAGTCCACACACCAGACTTTAACAATGTGCATCTTTATCTGCAGCTCATTTGTGAACATGTGATTATACTTGTAGACTAACTTGTTCCTCTAAGGATCACACTTCTCTCAAGTTAAGTTTACTGTCTAGAAATGTGATGCCGAATAAACAACAGGGAAAGTGTGTGTGTGTGCGTGCATGCATTTGTGAGTGTGGCCTTACGCAGATGGCATTGATGTCTGACTCGTGGCCAGTGAAGGTCTGTCGGCACATGCCTTCTCTGATGTCCCAGAGCTTGGCTGAAGCATCACAAGCTCCGGACACAAACAGCCTGGTGTCAGGTGCCAGCGAGAGGCTCATGACATCACCGGTGTGACCGGCAAATGTAGTTGTCTGCTGACCGGTCTCAATGTCCCACAGAGCACTGTGTTAGAGCAGAGTGACCATCATCAGATACATCTGCAGTGTAAGACTTTCAGAGCAAATTTTAGATTGTTAATTAAAAAAAAAGAGGATGTACTTAATATATTGGCGTTTAGTTAAATGTTACCTTCTCCAAGGCCCTTTATTTTATGTTGTGGTTGTTTTTGTCGAGTGCAGTTTGAAAACTCACCAGGTGGTGTCTCCAGAGCTAGTAACAATCTGGTTGTCATCCAGGAAGCGACAGCAGGACAGGTAACCTGTAGGAACCAAACACATGGACTGAAAACTCTCATTTGTGACAGATTTTTTTTAATAAAAGTATCAGCAACAAATATTAATTCAACAGCAATTCTCAGAGAGAGCTAGTGGCCTGGGTGTGAGAATAATGAACTAAATCTGTCAGGAAGGATAAAAATATTACATGTCTAATAGGTCATTTCTTTCTTTCATGGTTCATCTTTTACAGAGTGCTATAGTGTGTGTTCCCCTCCCTACAGTGAGGGAACTAGAACTAAAATGCTGACACACTTCCTGTATCATGTGACAGTGATCAGATGAATGCTCTTTGTCTACAACATTTCATTAGTCAGAGCAGGAATATGGTTCAGCTAGATGCCATGTTATAGTTAAATATGAAAAAACAACCAATAAAATTGTAAACAGTTACTATTTAGAAGGGTTAATGACTACCTATTAATACTAATATTCAATGTATTCCAATAAACTGCCAACCCATCTTAAACAAACTATGACTAAGCTTACAGAATGTATTGAACTGTTATATATTTCAACTTGCATCCTTAATGCATTTCTGTGTATATGGCAATTACCAATGGAGAGCAGTTTGATGGTAAATATTAACCTTTTATGTTAAATTCCACATCTGGCAAATAAGGAATGTGATAAAGTTCAACAGCTGTTGCTATTTTAGCTGAATTTTATCTTGGACTTCTGATTGACTGAAAGTCATCCACACTTGCTCCTGATTGGTTCTCATTTGCACAGCTGCCATCAATGGTGGAAAATCCCTATTACTTCACTATGGCCGTTTTTGCAACTCTGGAACAAGTGCAGAATAGATCTTCTTCCTGTTTACATCAGGACGCACATGCCCAGTAATGTCAACAATCGTACTTCATGCTCTCTCTCACATGTATGAGAACGGATGAGCCCGTCTAGGCTATAAAACGTCACTTAATATACATTTTACCAAAAGTTAGAATTTAATTTTTTTTTTTTGATAAGAAAAGATTTCATTTTGCCAACCAAAAACAAAAATGACTGTCTACTCAGTTTTCTTTTTAGTACTCAGAGTTTTTATCTGTATCTCTATGTGTCACAATGACAAATAATAATTCACTTTCATCTGTTTTAAATAAAACTATGTATCAATTTTAATAACAAATGAACAATTAGGAACTATTCACAAGTTCCTCTGACATTTAAAAGAAAGTGAACGTATAACACAGAAAAGGTTAGATGAAATCTGATGTGTCCAGCTCACCTGTGTGCCCAGCCAGCTCACGGCTGACACGGACATTTCCCTCACGGGTCTTCAGGTTGTAGATGGAGCAGATGTTGTCCAGGCCTCCGCAGGCCACATAGTTCCCAGAAGGGGCGTAGGCGCACGTCATCACCCAAGAGGAGCGCAGTGGGATGGCATGGACCTGGAAGGAAGATTTGATATGAGATAGTATACACTGACAGATGGGAGAGAAAGAGGAGGGCAGGTGGCAAAGTCTGTCCACAATATTTACTTAACCTTTCAAGGGCACAATGCTAACTATAAATATCCTTACTCAATGACCTCAGGCACTCGCAAATTGACAGTAAAATTAACCCAGCATTGCAAAAAGAAAAGACTGCGGTTTAGGTCTGGCATCATGGCATTAGAAATGCAAAGTCACGTTTTTATATAATAAAAATAAGCAATTTAAACAAAAATGCATTAAAAAGCATAAAGAGTAAAACATACAAATTGTGAGATTCTGTTGTACCTTGTTTGTGGTGTAGCTGTCCCAAATAATGAGTTTACCATCCTGGGAGGCGCTGACCAAAAGCCTAACAAAAGGAAAGTAATGATGAGCTACGGAGTAAGTTTAAAACTACCTTGAAGCCCATTAGAGCTTCAGACAAAAACAGCGGAAACACATACATCGTTTAATACTAAAATATACAATTAGAGGATTTTCTTATTATTCAGTGATTATGTTTACATATGTTATTCCATTGTCCTCACAGTGTAAGGATGAACAGCAAAAATTTAGATCCTGTTATTAATTTCTCCAATACGAGAGCATTTTTCAAAATAAATACTTAAGGTAATTCACAACAGCAAGCAAACACTGCTTATTCAATGTAGGTTTCATTAGGAGCCACTCTTTACAGCGAGGACTTTCAGGTGCCTCTCTGTCTGTCTGTGCTATCTGGGCGAATCCAACAAAGAGTAACCACAGTGAAAGTCCCAATGCACAAAGGAAAAAGAGTGAGCACACCAGTGCCTGCTGGGACTTTGCAAATCTTAACTACCAGGCAGTCAGCAGCATATATACTGTGCATGAGCACAGTCACTGCAGTGGAAAAAACCAGAGAGGTTTGAACTTACTGTCCAAACTAGGGCCAACGTTATTAAGGTCCAATTAGACTGTAGGTTCTGGTAAGGGATGTGAGTAAAACAAGAAACCCTTGGACAAAGGTTGTTAAGAGTTTACACATGAACGACACACATTAGGATGATGGGGAGGAGTTAAAAAGAAAATGATTTGTTTGGAGCAGTTTTGTGACAACAGGTGGAAATTCTTATCTCTCAGGTTACAGTATCATTTAGATGCTTTTGGTTTAGATGTGGCGATCAACAGTGTGATGTTTCCCAGTCCTACAACTTATCAAAAATATAATTTGTTTATTAGTTGGCATAACCATAAACAGGGTAATTGTTGATAAGCAAAATATGATGAAAATTGTTGTTTAAAATAACTAACTATTGACAGGCATGTGCAGCTTTTCCCTGACAGAGGATCAGGAGGTGACATAGCAGTTTGCAATGACCTCTCTGTGGACTGACACACAGTGGTACCTCAGTCATTAGTTTGCTGGTTGCTGAGGTGAGGGGTGTGTATATCTCCAGGGGGAACTGCTTTACATAAAGTGGGGAGTGTTGCTTAAAACACCATGGCCCTCAGCATGAACAGACCTGACAAAGGTTGGCTCCATTTTGAGTATTTTCATTACCCACATACCCAACCCCCAATGCACACAAACAGAGCAGACACAGACCCACAACATAGAACATAAACTCAAGAAGTAAAAGACAGAGGACTATTGGTTTGTGGGTTTGGAACACAAGAGTGAGCAGTTAAACAAATTAATAGTCATGAAGCCAACCTTTTATAATTAATATTCTACAATAAGTACAAGCATGAAAGACAGTACCTTGAGTCAGTGCCCCAGTGCATGGCATAAATTTTAGCCAGATGACCCCTCAGTGTCCGTCTAGTGCGCATCTGAATTCGCCCAACGGGGTCAATGTTAGCTGTGATCTGAAGATGGTAAAGACAAGAAAAGAGAGGAAGCATAAAAAAATGTTTAGATTCAAGAATTTCGACGTATGTAGAGGGCTACACACAAAACAAGAAAAACTAAAGGGAACTTACCTGAGACAGGGTAGCATCCGCACACGCTTTCCTGGCATCCTGAAAAACAACTCAGTTAAATCTTTTTAACAGGTGAATCAAAATGCCTTAAATTTACAGAATCAATGTTGCTTGAAGTTTGTAGTTTTGGTGCAGATTATAGAAGCTATGAAACTCAACCCATCAAAAGTGCATTTGCTACAGGCAGGGTATGACCAGACCAATTTTGCTTTTAATATAACATCAGCTTTAATGTAGGTGGACCTAGGTGAACAAAAATAACTTTACTAAGAGAACAGACGTTCCATCAACTGTTCTCATCATACTTATCATTACTTATCATCATCGTTACTTCTCTTTATGTAGCAATGTTAGTATATTTCTAAGCTAGAATTTAAAAATAATTTACAAAACAGATTCCTTATGAATCAATTAATCTAGACTTTGCCGTGATCTAACCTCGTAGAGGCAAGTAGACAAATTGTCTACAGAATATATTTTTCTTTTGCTGGTTTAAACAACAGAAAATTTATTGGCCGTGAGTAACGTGACCATCTGCTCAAGGTTGTGCAGCATGGAGTTGGTTACAATACACTGTAATGGTGTAAATTAAATATCAGAGCAATCACCTTGACTGTTATGTTTTTTGTTTGTTTGAAATTAAATAATTGACTAGCCACATCGACTAGTATGCATAATGACCAGAACTTGCTTCAATTGTGTTATATATTTAAATGCAACAGTGAAAACGTTTTATCATTATGTCAAAATTTGCCCCAGACAACTGCTGCACATGTATTAACAGATCACTTTAAAGTGCTGCATTAACCATAAGTTAAAAATGGAAAAAGTCAAACACCATGGTCATCTTGGCTACATGTTTCACATAAACATACGGTGTGAACTTTTAAAATGAAAAACATTTTGTAACAGAGAGAGTGCAGGACTAACTCTGATCTGGTTTTTGAGCTGCTCAGCCTCCTGGCGTAGCTGATCCAGTTCACTCATTTTCCTCTGCTATTGGTGTGCTTCGCTCCGCCGCCTAGACTCTTGCTGATCTGCAGACAAATAAAGAAATGTTCGACATTAACACCACACTGGTCAAGCTCTAATTAAAAAAAAGAAGCAGTTTTTCAGTAAATGTTGCTTATTATTTCTAGCTCTTAAATACATCAAATCATTGTTGATTAAAATGACAAATTATGGTTATTTAACACACTGTTGCTGCTGGGGAAGAACCTCATACTACAGGCCCAGAAAAAAAGGAGAGCTGCAACAGTCCAACACTTTCTAGACAGCCTGAGAATCATCCTTGCCAGCTTGAAACTGTTACCTAGCAACAAGCACTAAGCAGCCACTTTAGGCTTAAGACATTAATCTTAAGGAAGATGCTGTATTTGTTTTTTTTCCTCACACAAACAGCTGCAATTCTTTGGTTTATTATCTCGCCAAAATAAAGAGCTAATAAACATTGTTCACCAGAATTAGTGAAAATGATCAAACATGATACCCCTCGTGTACTGTCAAACTGCAGCAAGAGTTTATAGTCCAGATGTAGAAAAAAACATGTAGGAGCAGATATCAGCTTGTGGTTTCAGCCACTAATTCAACCCTAGAAGTTCAACTGTGCAGAACCTTCAGAGCCCTATCAAGACCACTGCCTCCAGACACTCTAAACTCTCCTCCAATGTCACTCCTGTAATCCAGGGACACAGTTGATTCAGCTCCTCTAGCAAAATCCGGTTAAGACAAAACCTGCTGATGATCCTAATAGAAGCGGCTATCCAGCTGACCTCAATCCTTGGTTTGACATTTCAAACTATCCTACACTTTCACCATCCATTGTAAAAAAGATGAATACATTAAGTTAACAACTACTTAGTTTAGGCCTCAAAAACATCCTTTGATTACCATGCTAATCACAATTCCAGTTTGCAGTCACCATTAAAAAGATTATGAAACTTGTTACAAGAAAAGACACCTTAAAAAAAAAGTATACAAGTTAAATTTCAAGAGCGTTCCCTAAAATGATAACTGTTTGTAGTGTCTGCTTAGTATATTGAAGAATCATTCGCTTTTATAACAATTTTCTCTTTTACAATGGAAACCACTTATTCAAACATTCAGAATTTAGGGACTAACAACAACACACCGCAACTAGCTCTATTTAGTTTTACAATTCCAATATTAGTACTACAAGAAAATCTTACCACTCTGTTTGCCTGGATTTGAGTGTAAGTCCTTCGTCCTGGGGAGTGTCAACACCTGAATGGACATCCTGTCCTTCAAGAGTCTGACATGCCTGTACCTACCTGTCACCTGATTGGCTACTGCTGACAAATGAGTCTACGCAAGGCTCCTTAACGCCATAATCTTGGTGATAAAAAAAATCTCTTCTTGTAATATTAATCACCAACTCTCACTTAGTTTTCGGATAGGAAGGTAATTTAACTCAATCTTAATACGAGCATAAGTTATGTTGATATGTATAGCAAACGACAATTCTAACACAATCTTGTTTTAATATGACTGTAGACAATCTCATTTATTGAGGTCATTTAGTAGGCAGCTTGACAAGCTTACTTTCTCTAAGATGTTTTATAGCTTACCTAAGAAGCTTTTTAACATCTTTAATTTTTTCTCCTGTTTATACATGCTGAACAAGTTCGCTTCAACAACTGCAACCACTACCACAACAAAATGAAGAAAAAATATGTCTTCAAGAATGTAAAGAGGGCCAGGTAGTATAAATCAAAAATTCGAAGTATTAAGCAATGGATGAACTCCCCTTGGTTCCTGGTCTAAATTATACTGTTAAAAATTCAACTAATGCAATGACCTATTGGATTTGTGTTGAATTGCAGAGCACTGACAAACTATTTGTCTGGTCAGATACTGCTTGTGACTTTGTGGTAAACCTTTTTAATAAAGAAAAGGCTGTTTTGCAACAAAATGCAGAGAACACATGGACTAACTGCTAGCATTATACCTAGGTGTTTAATGCATGTCGATAAAACAGCTAGTGCAATAGTTTGTTGGCCCAGTTTCCTACCCGCAGTTAGCACCAAAAAAAAAAATAGTTCACTTACCTTAAGTATTTGAATACATCTGTTAGTTGACTAGTAATTTCGAGTTTTTGTAAAGTTGTTGTCATACTTGGATGGCAAATAAACCATTTAATCCAAGTATTCGAGAAAGGGGTTTGACTGACTAAGTGGCAGGACCCTCGCAAAATGGTTTCAAATATTAGTGTGTTAGCTTTAGTCAATGTAAACATAGGATAGGCATCCTAATTTATGAAGTTACATAAAGTAATATTTGGTAACAAAAACTGTTCTCAGCCTATAATCCTTTTACACACTCTCCATATCTCTCCTGTAGCAATGCTCATTTCTCTTGCTTTAGGGACTTGTGCTGACATTTTGGAACATTCCACTCTTACATGTTTAAAACCTTTCTAAAATTGTGGGTTCTTACTGATCTGTGGGAAATTAATTTACAAGTGTTTGTCTTTAGCCTCATAGCACAAAAATGTCTGACTATAACCCACCCACAAAAAAAATTAGACCTTGAACTAATCACCACGGACATAGATAAAAAGGGAACTGCATTTTACTGGCTATTAGTAATAGAGGTGTGATTCAAAGGACTATTTTTCTCTTGTGTTGGTGGTGGGTGTGAAACCACTGGCAGCCCAACAGATCCAGCCTTAACTTCACTGCCTTCTCTTTCTGCAAGCTATTTTTAGAGAGGTGGTGGGGGAGGAGAAGGAGGAGGAAGAGAAAAGAAGAGGGGAGGGGGAAGCAGACTTCACATTTTTCCAGCCACTCCTATCAGCACCGACATCTCGAGCACAGCGCAGTCAGGAGAGAGGAAGTGTAGTTTGATTTAAAACACAAATGCACCGTGTTGGTGTTTCTCTTTTGCTGTGCTTTATAATATGATTTTCAGTAGTTTTCTGTAGGTGTTGCTTTATACAGTGAATTAGTTAACAAAATTATATTCAGGAAGTAAATGCTTTAATAACTAAAATACCACTTCTGAGATTTGTTCATTTAAATTTAAACTTAAAAAAGGCTGGCAAAATGCTACAAAGATGGGGATGAAGGTATACATTCAAATCAAAGAAGCAGAGAGACTCCACCCTTGTGTCCGAAGAAGTTGGGCAGGTATTCAGATTTTCTATGAACAAGAGGATAGGGGCAAAGGAGTCAGGCTGAAGGACTGAGACAGATTATACTAATGACAGTGAACAAGCAGAGGACATTTGTAAGAGGAGTTGCAACATAAGCCCACAGTGAAGGAAGACCAGCCACTGTAAACTACCAGCATCAAATCACACACGAGGCCTACAGTTGTTTCTGAAATACTTAGCAACATGACTTGAAATTTTACATGGAAAGGGCATTTTTCCCTCCGGTGCTGTGGTGCTTAAACAAGTCCTTAATTTTTATACTACCACAAATATACAGCTAATATATATCTAAACCCACTTCTGTTTTCACAGTTCAGTGAAGATATGAACAATTCCCTATATCTTTGTAAGTTATATAGTTAAGGGATGCACCAAATTTTCAGCCACCGAAGATTTTCGGCCATAATTGGCCCTAAAATGCATTTTTGGTTTTCGGCTGAAAGACTTTTATCACCAAAACAACATAGCCAAAACAGGAAGTTATAATGAAGCAAGCAAAAACCGCGGCCGGCACGGGCTTGTCAGATATCTGCAATACATATCCAGCTTAGTGTTTGTTAAAACAGCATGCCATAAATACCAACATGTCTTCGGTGTGGATGTATTTCAATATATCTGAGAAAGACCCCCAGATAGAGATTTGCAAAACGTGTAATGCTGAAATTTCAAGAGGGGGTGAAAAGTACATTCAGAGTCTATCAGCACACATTTCACTGAGATCTATTTGGATCCCCTGCATTCGTCAGAACTGAACTTCATCCACGTTAAAGATCATTACGCACGAGAAATGAACGGGGCCGCGATGGACACGAAGTAGCGCACACAGCAGGAGGAGAGCAGTGTGCCAGATGAGGGGCAAGCACCCTTGTTTTCTGATGTGTTCTGTGAGAACCTGCAAGAGTGTTCCTCAAAAAATAATAATAGGTGGGTTATTCTGTTCTAGCTTCCTATGTGACTGTTCAGTTGATATTATTTCTCTGTTAGACATTTAACAATTAATTACTTTGACAATTATCAATTTATTATTTATTCATTAATTTATGAAATAGCAGTGCCTTAATTTTATTGAGGTTTGGTACACAGTCATAGCCAAAAATGCAGTGGTACCAATAATTGGCATAATAATTTCTTTCGATATTTCGATTTTTGGCCTAGGTTACCTCATTTCAGTTTCGGCCAAGAATTTTAATTTCGGTGAATCACTAGTTAAGTTATATAGTTACAAGAACTTGATTTACCTTTATCTACAAATGTGAAACAAATGTATCATTTCTAATTTTAAACTAAAGAAATTCAGATTTGATTTCAGATTCACAGTCACACACTTTTGTTCCGCCTAGATATAACAGAAGATTGTGTTTGAATTGTAGGAGAGAGAAGGTGGGGTTAATAATTTACACCCTCCTGCCTGGACAGCATATGTCACACCCTCCACCAGGTTCATATCCTTATAACTCTATTCACCAGCTATCCTTTACAATTGACTGTTATTCTGTCTGTGGCTTTCTTCTCACTAGAAAAAGAACAGTACGGACCTACAGCAGGATATAGATGGGGCTGGTCGCTTTTGCTAGTCTACAAAGGGATGGCTGTGCTAGAGACTTGACTATTGATCATTTGTGCCAGCATACTGCCTCCGTCCCAATGCAAGTGCACAGCCTCTCTAGGCAGGCGTTTCCTTTTAAAGGGTGTTCCCCTGGCTATGCTCTTCTTCTCTCTTCCCGTTGTCAAAACATTGAGCGGATGTGGCGACAGCACTCATTTTACAAATACACATTTGCTCTGTGGTTTCTGCAGTATCCACTGCACTTACCAAAGTCCAGAGTTTGAACTACTCAATCAGTTTCAATAGGTTACAGACAA